ATGCAAATAGATATTAGCTATTGTTACTATACATTTAACTCTGGATTCAATGGAAGCATTTTGGTATGTAACTGATAACTGTAAAATTTTTTTATTAAAGTCTTTGCTAACAAAAATCTTTAAAGCTTTGTGGTGAACACATTTCAACAGAGGGGGAAACATTTAAAAAATAGATAAAAAAATAAATGTGGTTCCCCCCCACCCCTGCTAAAATAAAACAGAATCTTGCTTATAATTCATCCTAGAATTATAGAAAAATATTTTTTTTCTTAGATGTGAAAGAAACATTACCTATTATCAGCTAAACCTTGTTTTAAAAAATGGAGGAAACTATCGTGGAGATATTATAGGACAGGGAGAGGGACCACCCTGTTACAATCCCCCCTTTTAATTTTTATTCCACCATATCTATGGTGGCACAGATCTAATGGTGTAATTTTAGGAGTCAGTCTTTTTTTTTTTCAGGGTTACAATGTGGGTAAGAGAAGCAACAATTAGTCAGTAGTATTGTCCATGAATGTCCAGTATGACAGTTTTCCATTACTTGAAAATAGTCCATTATCCAAGCCAAAAGAAAAAAAGTTCTGGAGTATTAGCTAAAACAAGACCGCAAATATATCAAAATGACAGGGAAAAAAATGTTAAAATGGTTCAACTTATGCAAAACACAAATTTTCTCAACCTTGATCCCAAACTTTTAACAGCATAGCAAAAGTTTATTGTAACAGGGTGGTCCCCAGGAAAGGGGGAGATTCCCTGCCCCACCCAAGGGAGGGTGGAGCTGAGCAGGAAGAGGAGAAGCTGCAGAAGAGACTGAGGAAGGAAGCAGGATGGAGCCAGGAGACCTGTAAGAGGCGCATGGAGCCTAGAGACACGTGAAGAAACTGCGCTTGTCTTTTGGTCGTGGACTGGGTGACACAGATGTGGGTGAGACCCGTGGGGAGGGGACAATGGCAGCTTTTATCTTGATGTTGATTTTGCTCTTTTCCTTCCGGGCTTGTCCGGTTGTTTGTGACCCTTTTCTGTGGGTCCCCACTGGAAGATGCTTTAGACTTGTAGCAGGCTTTGGGGCCTTGTTCTGGGCCGATCCCATTTGGATGGAGTTTTACCCACGAGGGGTTGGGTAACTTTGGGTGCTTCATTTAGAAACTAGACTCTTTGCCTTACCTGTATTGTTTCCTAGTTTTATTAAAGTTCCTTCCCATTAAAGTCTCATGTTTTGTGTTGATGCGGCGGATGGCAGAACCCATTTAGAATAGGCAGGTTTGCGGGGTTTGGGCTGCCCCTCTCCCTGTCCTATAACAGAGAGATGACAGGTTCTCAGGGCTGAGAAGCAGCTGAGTTGAGACTAGAATCAGTTTCATACCACAAAGTAAAGTGACTTTCTAGTTCTGTAGAAACTAGATTGACGCTCTTCAAATGGACATCTGTGGTCAACCTGGGTGTTTTGCACCTGAATTCCCTGCATAATTGCAACAATTCTTGCTTTTGACTTGCTTATGAGGAATTCAACCCATTGAAATGGAGCAATTGAAAAATAATATTCAGGCTGTAACTGTAGACCAGTAGCTACTTCAGTCATTGGGGTCTAGCATTTGTACACTGGCTAATAGATGTTTATTGAGCATGTATGGAGCCCTTGACCCTGCAATGGAGAACCAGACAGAGATGCCTGCCCTCATGGGGTCTGTATTCACCTGATATTGAAACAAAAAACAATGAGTTATCAAGAGTGATAAGCAGTTATCTCAAAAGGGTGCCCCATCACTGTGGAGGGCTGGAGTTGTGGATCCCACGTTAGAAGGGATAGTCAGGGAAGGAAAACCTTTCCAAACTGTAAGAACTTCCAAAACTTTGGTGAGAAGCAGCCTGCTATGTAAATATCTGCAGGAATGGGGATTCTGGCAGAGGGAACACCAAGATCTTAGGGACTGGGATCCAGAAACATTGGCTGTATTATCTATTGGATTTCCTCTCATTTTTTCAATCTCCTGTTTGTTAATATGGGTACATAAGAAAAGCAATTATCTGGAGGGTGGGGAGATTCTGTAGACAGTTTAGCCATAGTCCTTGTAGATGAAAAAGGGCCTTGCCTTCTCTTGCATTACTCTGCATATAAGTCAGTGTCATCTAAGATGAGGTGGAGGTGGTAGAGGTGTTGGGGGTGGTGGGGAGCCTTTAAGAGGGTCTGCCAGCCCTAAACAGCAGGTTTTGGTTTTCCTTGAGCATGCTAATGTTAGCACAGTTCTGGCTGTGCTGCCAGGCCCTTCCATACACATGGCTGTGGGGATGCTGGAGCAGTCATGTATTGATTGGAGTAGTTGCAGCATTTTACTCACTTCTGACTGGAAGACTCATGTTCTGGCAATTTCTGCCAGGGTGCTCCTAAGAGAGGAACATTTTGTGAGAATCATGTTCCCCTTGATTTCCCACACGCAGTTGCTCTAGAAAACTCTCACATTGGCTACCTGGTGCACATTCTCCATTGAATGATTAAAATAAGACCAAACAAACAAAAAATCAGAAGACTTTTTTAAACAGCTCACTTATTTTTAACTTTGCCTTTGGAGGGGTCACCCTGCAGCGTTTAGAGGGCAGCGTGTTACCTTTTTTACACTTGTGTTATCACCTTCAACTTTGCCTGCTACATTAAAAAGCCTGCAGTAAAATAATTATTGACTGAATAAAGTACCCATAGCAGAATCTAAAAGACATTCCCCTCCCATCTCCCAATTCCTCCATCTGACTTTAGTCTTCCCAGGAGAGTTCTGACCCACTCACCTAGGGGAGAGCTACTCTGGACTTTTTCTACTTGTACTATGAAGGGACAAATGAGCAGGATGGTAAAGAATACGGTATGAAGGGCAGCAAATGAGGAGGATCCCACATGGTGCGCAACCTCTCCTGCCAGAACTTCAGTCCTTCTGTGCTCTGCTCTTCTGAGTTCCCTCACCCTCCCACATTGACTGTGCCCAGTGCATGATAAATAAATTGCCTCTAATTATCTTTGTTCTTCTTCTGAAAATTATGGGTGAAAATTTCACTAATTAGAAGTGAATAATAAAATTATCGCCCTCTTGACTATTAGATTTCCTTAGGGTTTTTAGTCTCTAGGTCTCTAGCATTATTTTATTCTGTATGTGCCTGTATATTTAATTAGTTTCTTGTAAACAGCATATAGTTTGTCATGTTTTTGATCCACTCTAACAATTGCTCTTTTAATTGGTGTATTTAGGTCATTGACATTTAAAGTGATTATTGATAGAGTTGGGTTTATATCTACCCTATTCGTTACTAATATTCATTAACTGTTTTCTTTTTTTTAAAGATTTACTTATTTATTTATACAAGAACTGGGGTACAGGTCAGATCCGTGGGAGGGTGAGAGGATTCACCAGACACAGAGTGGGGAACAGAACAGGCAGAATGACTAAATACACTGCTGAGGGGAGCAGCGGGCGCAACAGGAGAGGTCTGCAGCGCCATGTGGGACCCTCACTGGCCGGCCGGCTGGGATTGAACCGGCGCTGCAGAGGCTGTGGACAGCTCGACAGCGTGGCGCTCAACCACCTGCGCCACTAGGGGAGGCCCTCATTAACTTTTCTATTCATTGTTCTTGGTCTTTGTTCCTATTTCTGTCTTCCAGTCTTTTTCTGCCTTTGAGGTTTTTATTGAGCATTTATTTTTTTTCAATTTTTAAAAAATTTATTTATGCATACAAGAACTGGGGTAAAGGCCTGAGGTGTGGGTGTGAGTGAGAGGATTCACCAGAGACAGAGAAGGGAGCAGAACAGGCGGCTCTACTGAAAAATACTGCTGAGGGGAGCAGTGGGTGAGACAGGAGAGATCTGCTGTGCCATGTGGGTTGTTCCCTGGCGGGCTGGGATCAAACTCGTGCTGCAGAGGCTGTGGGTAGCTTCATAGTGCTGTGCTTAACCCCTTGCACTACCAGGGAGGCGCATTTTATTGAGCAGTTAATATGATTCCATTTTTTTCACCTTTCTTAGCATAGCAATTATACATTTATTTTACTTTGGTTGCCCTGGAGTTTATAATAAATATTTATAATTTATCCAGGTGTACTTTAAAAAAACACTGTACCATTTCATGGGAAGTGTACTTATAATAAAGTCATTCTAATTCCTTTCTTCCATCCCTTTTAATCATTGTTACTCATTTTACTTATATATAAACATGCATAAGTAACTCATTTTACTTATATATAAACATGCATAAGTACTATTTATAATATATATAATACATAAGCACACATAATTAAATATGCTGTTGGTATTATGTTGAACAAACTTATCTGTTAGATGAATTAAGAATAAGAAAGTAAGTTTTTATTTTACCTCCAACTATTCCGTCTTTGATGCTCTTTTTTTTATGCAGAGCTGAGTTTTCCATGTATAGTAATTCCTCATTTAATATCAATTGTTTCTTGGAAACTTCAACTTTCAGCAAAAAGACATAACAAGACCAACCATAGGCTAATTGATATAAACAAGAGTTAAGTTCCTACAGTATATTTCTGGTCACAAAAATATCACCAAGTTTTTGAGTAAAGACCCCCCCAAACACTTCTTATATTAAACAATCATTTCTGTTTATCCATTTATTTTCCAATCTGCTTATTACAGTTCAGGGTCATGGGTGACCATGGTCTGTGCCTGAAGTTCAGGGCACAAGGTGGGAGCCAAACTTAGACAGGAGGCCCTTCCATCACAGACACACTCACAACCACTCTGAGACTAGAGGCACTGAGACATGGCAGTGAGCCTACTGTGCACATCTTTGGGATGTGGGAGGGAATTGGAGTTTCTGGGAAAACCCCATGTAGATATGGGGAAAATGTGCAAAGTGCACAGATAGCGGCCACTGTTTGGAATTTTGTTTTACCAACCTTATAACTAAGTGATACCATACCCATGCTATTTTGATGACCTACTCTATGTCATTTTCTTCAAAGAAACTGCTTTTAAAAATTATGTGACAGTTTTACTGGAAACAAGTTCCATCAACTTTTGTTTTTCTCAGAAAAATCTTTATTCCTCTTTCACCTTTGAAGGATTATTTCCCAGGGTACAGAATTCTAGGTTGGTGTTTTGTTTTTCTCTCTCAACACTTTAAATAGGTTACTATACTCTTTTCTTGATTGCATGCCTTCTGAGAAGTTGGATATAAATCTTATCTTTGTTCCTCTGCAGGTAAGATGTTTTTTCTCCTGACTTCTTTGAGGACTTTATCTTTGATTTTCTGTAATGATATACTTAAGTCTGGGTTTTTAAATTTTTTTTCCCTTAACAGTTCATTTTAGCAGTTCCGTTTTATTGCATTCTACATGTTTGTTTTTAGAAGATACTTATGTTTCTATCTGTCCTGTATAGAGAAGTAAATTCATTACCTTTTAAAATTGATATTTTCATTAGAAAGTTGCTGCACTTTGCCTGAAGTAGAGTCAGGAGGATACAGGGAATTCGCTTGGTGGAAGTTGGGGCAGTACTTGGCTGCTTCTCAGTAGAACTTCACTTTGCTGTGGACTTCGGTGTCAGCTCTCCTTCCCCTTCTTTTTCAAATCCTGAACAGACCAGAGAGCTTCCCTTGGGATAGCGCGCACAACACTTACGCAGCTCTTGAATGACAGCCTGACACTTAGATTCCATGTAGTTGTTGGCTTGTAAACATTTCTGTATTTCACAGGCTTGTTTCTGGCACGGATCCTTCTGGGGCATATCCAGAAGAATGAATATGATGTTTTTAGGGTTAATTAATCCGGAGAACAGCAAGGCTCAAGCTTCCAGGGGTCACGACCCTGGCTACTGCCGCTGGGATCAGGACCAGAGCTGGGGGGAGCTGAGGGGCTCTCCACCACGGTCCTCTCCCCCAAGTTAAGAGGCATGGGCCAGCCACTGAAGAGGTCTTGCAGAGTTGTTCAAGAGTCAGGGGCAGTTTCTTGGAAATAAAACAAACCATAACTGTCAGGACCAAATTTCAAAAGCGTGACCCGCCCCCGCCCCCTGGGAGGCCATTGTGATGCGCATGTGCACCAAGGCCACTTCCATCTTGGACCACTAGTAACCCTCCCTAGCCCTGCCTCCGGATACCTAAGGGGTGGGGATTAACTGGGAGTGGCAGGGCTGCTGTAGGGTGTTCTTTTTTCGTGGTGCATTTATCCTGTTGGGTTATTTGGTTTTTATTGTTGAATTACAGCTTTTTTGTATATCTTTGTTAGTAATCCCTTATTATATATTGTGGAAATATTTTCTCCCATTTTATAGGGTGTCTGTTTAATTATCTTGTATTTTTCCTTCATTATACAGGAGCTTTTTTTTTTTTAAGGATTAAGGCAATCCTAATTTTTTAAAAAAAATTCTTGCCATAGGGGTTGAGTCACCCAAAATATATTTATTGTTGATATTATGGAATGTATTACTAATGTTTTCTTCTATGTATTGTATTGTTGTATCTAAACCTTTAGTCCATTTGGTATTTAGTTTCTTATGTGGAGCACCATTTTTTCAAGAGTCTGTCTTTCCCATTTTATGGTCTTGGATGTTTTATCATAGATTAGTTGCAAGATTTATTTTTGAACTTTTGATTGGCCTTTGTATCTATTTTTTGGCCAACAGTTTTTAAGATTGTTGCATTCTAGTAAAGTTTGAAGTCAGGTTATGTGATATTTCCATTTCCTTTTTCCCTGGGGGGGGGTCTAGTGCAAGGATTAAACTGGTAAGCAAGGGGAAATGGCTGCTGCATTAAATATATTTAACATCTACTGAACATTTCTATGTGGCATAAATATATTGAAAATATTCATATTTTGTTTAGTTCTCATAACAACCTTAAGACATAAGTATTTTCTAGATGGTGAAATTGACTTATAGAGAAGTCAAGAAACTTGTCCAAAGCCACACAGCAAGTAAGTGGCAGAGCCAGAATTTGAACCCAGGCAGTATGTGCTCACAGTCCTGTAAGTTAGCCAAAGTGTAATGCAGTAGGAGAATACACACACATGTGTATGAACACACACGTGCACACACACACACACACACACACACACACACACACACTGTACTGCACTGCAGTCTTTGTGGTGTGAAGGAAAAGATGAACTCCTTTCAAGTTGATAGGATTTTTTCTTGAGAGCCTGGCTCCTACTAGGCTCTCAATAAATAGTGGTTGAATGAATAACATTCTCCTGACATCTAACTCACTGCTTTAAGTGGAAGTTAACCATTAAAGTGGAAAACTGTTTGAAGTATGTTAATCTAGAGTAAGAGTTTAGGGATCTGAAAGGGGTGAGATCCTGAGGCTTCTAGAGGTGTGAACAACCCATGCAATCTCACATGATAATCAGGGACTGATAGCAGCATAGCGATCATTTTTGGATCATGATGGCATTAAGATCCATTTCTCAGCCATGCCTTCAAAAAGCAGCTGTTTTATATCTGCTGTATTTTAAAGTCAGTAAAACACTGCATGTATAGATAGCAATTTTTTACTCTGTACTTAAAGATCTGTTAGGAAGGCAAATTTCATGTGAAGAGATTAACACACACACACACACATATATACACACACCCTGCCTCATTTTATTAAAATCTCCCCTTATTATTTCAAATAGGCTCATGTTCATACCACATTTATTCTTTACTGTTAATTGCTTCTTTATCAGTTAAGTTTTTGTAGGTCTTTTTTTCCTTTACTGAATTGCAGACTACCAAAGGCCAGATTCTGGTCTGTGTCCGCATGTCCCAACTCTTTGCCCATCCTCTCCAACAAGAATTTGTGCCTTTCAAATATCCTACCAAATCCGTTTCCTTTAAGGGAAGATATAAACTCTGTCCTTTCGGAAGCCAGGTTTGAGTATGTGTATAAGGTAGAGAAAGCCAAGGATTGTAAAATGTCAGGATATGACCAAATCACAAAGATGATTTAGGAAGGGGAGCACAACATATTAATGATTAAATAAATAAATAAATAAATAAATAAAAAGGTGAGGGTGCATTTAACTACCTTTATTCCACACATTATTAAGGTTAGTGAAACTACATATTTGTGGTGCTTATATTTCTACACAGAATGTTTAAAATGGAATTTTCTAATTTAGGCTTCATGAAACAACTTGCCTCACTTAGAATATTTTCCTGAAATATTTCTATTGGTTTATGAAAACTTAGTAAAAATGCTTTCAGATTTTACTAAAAATATTTTAAAATTTCTAGTTAGAAGATTGAATATACACATGAAATGCTTAAAGCAGAGTCAGATATTCTCATTTTTCATAGGATTTGTTCATTCTGTTGATTATGCTATTATTAAATGATCAGTGTTTTTAGTCTGGGCTCCCTGAGTTCAACTTAGATGATATTAGCATGTTACGACAGTAATATACCTTTCATTATTTTTATACCAGTTATTAAAAATGGCCCATTCAGAAGTTCTAATAATTTATGTAGCAAAATGCAAATCCATTTTAGACATGCAGGAGTAATGATTCTAGAATGATATGACAAATACTGGATGGTGTCACATTTTCTGTATGTGAATAGAGTAAAACAAAACAAAGGGACAGATGGAACCAACCACAACAAATCCTTGAAAGCTGATTGTAGAATTAAGGCTACCAGAGGGGAAGAGGGAAGGTGGGGAACACAGAGAGCAGGGGGCCCCATGGATTATGGTGGGGACAATGGTTGCCATGGTGGGGTAACATCTAAAGACGCATGAACCTGCACCTCTGAGTCAGTGATGCAAGCCATTGTGACCTCAAGAAAAATAAAAAACAAGAAAATATAGGTATATTTACTGTTAATAAATAAAAAGATGATTAGTTTTTGAAAACCAAATATGCCAGAACTGATGTAATCAAGTAATGACACCCTTTCCCTCAAAAATACTTGGGAGTTATATATTTAGCACAGTGATTTTTTAAAAAAGATTTATTTATTTTATGCATACAAGAACTGGGGTATAGGCCAGAGGTATGGGGGGTGAAAGGACTCACTGGAGACAGAATGGGGAGCAAAACAGGCAGATTGTCTGAAAACACTGCTGAGGGGAGTAGTGGGGAGACAGGAGAGGTCTACTGCACCATATGGGTCACCTCCCTGACCGGTCACTGAATTCGTGCTGCAATAGCTTCAGGTAGCTTCATAGTGCTACGTCTTAACCCATGCGCCACCAGGGAGGCCCTAATACAGTCATGTTTTTAATGTTCAAAGTATTCTGGAATCCATCTCTGCATTGCCAAAGCCCAAGTCATGCCCCTTTGAATGCCTGTGTTTATATGGTGGTAGCTGGGGAGACGTTTCGACAGTCACTCGACCCTCCATCGGGAAAGGACTTGCTCATTACCCAGCTGCCAGGAGTGTGAAGAGCTGACAGCACCGCTTGTTGGCTTTTCAGAGCTTGTCTCATCTTTCAGGCTGGGGTCCTGATCAGCTTGGAGTGACCCTCTCCAGTGACTAAGCAAGGTATCAGAAGGTCTAGCCATTTTGCCCAACTCAGACCCACTTCCTGGGCATCTTTGCTCCACACTCTGTTCAGCTGGCAGAGACATTGTCAGAGGTGCATCTCAGTCAGACGCCTTCCTTCATCCATCTGGCATTTCCCTCTTTCTTCATTGGTTGCTCCGCAATATGTCTCTTACACTCTTAACCTTTCAGATAAATCAACCTGTGACAACTGGTAACACCTTCATGCATTAACTCTTAAAAATAAATTGAGTGCTTATTTTTTTTTAAGATTTATTTATTTATGCATACAAGAACTGGGGTACAGGCCAGAGATGTGAGGGGTGAGAGGATTCACCAGAGACAGAGTGGGGAACAGAACAGGCAGACTGACTGAAATACACTGCTAAGGGGAGCAGCGGGAGTGTCAGGAGAGGCCTGCTGCGCCATGTGGGTAGCTCCCTGGCCGGGGATAGAACTCGTGCTGCAGTGGCTGTGGATAGCTTCATAGATTGCGTCTTAACCCCTTGCGCCACCAGGGAGGTCTGAGTGCTTAGTTTTTGCTGGTCATCTTCTAATTACTAGAGACACATTAAGGGATGTATCTGTCTACCTTACCCTGCCTTACAGGGCTTATCAAGGCCCAAATGGGGTACCAACAGACAGGTAGTGATAACAGAACTTGAACAGTAGTATGGGGAAGCAAGATCAGCATGATGGGAGTACTGAAGATTTTTGGGAAGTAAGGGAAGATTTCTTAAAGACATGATTTCTAAAGTCAAATCCAAGAAAGTTGATGGGGAGGACAGAATTTGCCAGGAAAATGAAACTGTGTGTTCAAAGAGTTAGTGGTGACTGGGATAGTATATGGCATGTTGCTGGATGAGTAGTCCTGAAAGGCTGGAATAGAGAGATCAGAAGAAAGTGTTTGAATAAGTTACAAGAAGCCCCAAGAGGGAGATTCAGGATGTCCTTCTATTCTGTGTTGAGGACAGAGTAAAGGGAGGAGCAAGACATGAAATCAGGAATAATAACCCTAGATGAGAATCCCATTTGTAAACTGCTTTAAAGAGTCTGAAAATCTTTATCCTGAGGACAACAGGGAACTAAGAAAGAAACTAATAATAATAATAATAATAATAATAATAATAATAATAAAGATCAGATATGTCTGACTTAGAAAGACCATTCTGGATGCAGTAAGAATTGGATTGTGGGAAGGCAAGGAGAGTATTAAGAAACTGTTGCAGAATATCATGCTATACCTGTCAGCTTGGACTAGGAAAGGGACAGTAGGGGTGAAAGTAAGTAGATAAATGTAATTCCTATTATGGAAATAGAACTGAATAGACATGGGAAGTGAAGGAGAAGGAGTTAAAAAAGAACCAAATTTTCGTCTTGGCAACTGTGGTTACCTGTTACTTACCAATCAGGCAAGATGAGAAGGATTTGACGTACTCTCACTGGCGTGATGATGGAGGGGCCGCCTGACAGAGATTATGTGTGGTTTCTAGGCCACTAGGAGTGTCTCCTGACTCA